AAACTCACTCACTCGCGCTCACTCACTCTCACACACACACTCACTCGCACACACGCACAATAACTCACACAAACTCACTCACTCGCACACATACATACATACGCACACACACACACACACTCTCACTCGCACACACGCACAATAACTCACACAAACTCACTCACTCGCACACATACATACATACGCACACACACACACACACTCTCACTCGCACACACGCACAATAACTCACTCAATCGCGCTCACTCACTCGTACACATACATACACACGCATACACACGCACTCACACGCCCACACACACACTCACTCACACACGCACAATAACTCACACAAACTCACTCACTCGCACACATACATATATACGCACTCACTCGTACACACGCACACACACACACACTCACTCACACACGCGCACAATAACTCACACAAACTCACTCAATCGCGCTCACTCACTCGTACACATACACACATACATACACACGCACACACACGCACTCACACACCCACACACACACTCACTCACACACGCACAATTACTCACTCACTCGCACACATACATACATACATACATACATACATACATACGCACTCACTCACTTTCACACACTCGCACGCACACTCACTCACTCTTGACGGAACCCGTCGTGGAGGAAAAAAATAGATAAAACATGCTAGTCTTTTTATGGTGATGTCGTGAAGCATCGCAGATTGTCGTCCACTATGACACACACTATACGAGATGAAACGATCGGATCTTGTCTAAATGGCGTACCCTGACCCAGGCATGAGAGAAGCGCGAGCGTCCGCCGCTGTCCTCACGGTAACTCTCAGACACGAGTCGAGCCGCAGGTCACGGGGGGAATGTCACACGTCGGGTCCTGTGGGCCGCCGGCAGATGCCGATGCTCTGAGCGGGCGGACGGAAATGTGGCACGCAGGTGACGGCCAGAAACCTCGGCTTTATGTGAGAGTCACAGAGCAGTGTCTCTTCAGGCACTCTCTGATCCGAGACGGTTACGCAACGCTATCATGCTCTCTCTGACTCCGTCTGCTTCCTAAAGCGTGTGTTACTTTGAGAGTTTACAGACCAACCAACCCGTAGTTATTAAACCATAACTGGCAGACCCGGCGCCAGACACAAATTCACGGACGGGCATTCATTTTTTTCAGGGGGGCACAAATGAAAACAACCTCATTGCATCATAACAGAATCGATTATGATACTATGCAATGATCGACAGAGCATAATAATTATATAATAGGCTACTGACGCTAAAGGTACGTTTACACACTGCCTCCGCAAATTTCGATTTAATTTTTAAGTAGGTTTGAGAGGTGTTTTCAGGTCATCAGTGGGTGCTGTGAATTATTATTGAAAAAAAATTGGGCATGTTGTGTGGACCTCTGTCCCTAGGGGGGTTCTCAATGTGCATCAATCTGGTGCACATTGAGAGCTCAAAATTAAGAGCTTCAACCGGCTTCGACCCATGAACTGTGCACATTGAACAAAGAAAAAGCATTGACTTGTACCTAAAGAGGGCTCAAACATCTTGTTAATTATAGTCTCAGTCTACATTACATCGTATTTTATATTAAGCTATAGAATAGGAAAATTACACTACTTTTGTCCTAATTTTTTCACTTGTAAGAAATAAACCCTTGAGCTTTTATTTAGGAGAAAACACAAGATCACCATGCTGATCGTGTGAGCAAGAGCGCACTTTTCTTTAAATCACGCAGCACACACAGAATGGCTAACTTTACTTAATTAAAGTCTTGTGCTGTTTAGCCAAAAAAATGAAATATAATACCGAAAAAACTCGACATGTCAACAAAACATAAACATCTTCCCAAACACATATCAAGCTTATTTAAAAACCTCGAAAGCATAAACACTCATTCAAAGTAATACTACGTATTACGTATTCAGAATACAAATTATGAGTAGGCTAACAGTAGTCTCCACAGAGCATAAAATATTCATTTCATTTTATTTTTCGTGTTCGCATTTATGAGGAAAAAACAATGTTAGGACGTGAGCGCTCTGAAAGCGGCACTAAAAGATGCTTTAAAACTTTCACAGAGATATCAAACAGAAAGCAAAACCTTTCTTTAAAGTGAATTTCGTTTTGTATTAATTGTATCTTAATTTTAATCAATACTTCATCAACCAATTGCCTGGATTTAATAAATAAGAAGTAAATATAGCAGACGATAATGACGAACCGGAGGCGCCAGCGCGTGAACTGGAGCTCGTCGCAATTGAACCGAAACTCAGTGTAGGCGTATAAGGTAGCCTACTTGCCTCACAGACATGTCTACTTTTAAACAGAACAATTCAAAACGAAAGAAAACAGACTACAGACTGCTCCCTGCTCATGTAATCCGAATGAAATGTGCATTTCTCTATGGCGTTTGAACGAAACGTTTGAATGAATGACTCAAAGACTCGCATAAAAAGACCGCTATCACATGCATTTCCGCGCTCTCTATCGACAAACCAATCAATCCGTTTACAATTAAAAAAAAATCAGACCAAACACATTTTTATTTTTATTCAGGAGTTATGTATATTCAAAAGGATAACTTTTGATAACAGTAGCCTATTGATAAAAAAGATATTGTGCAAACAAGCAAGGACTGGTGGGACTTGAAGTGGAGTTGGTGAAGGGAGAGACTCGCTCAGGGCGGGCACTAGTGACTCACAGGGCGGGCCAGGCCCCCCAATGGCGCCGGGACTGATAACTGGGAACTCCATTAATCAACGTCGTCTCATTCTTAAATTATGTACATTATCCCTTTCTAGCATCATATTTATTACAACAACCACCCACATCATATAGTTATTTTTGCAGTTACACTCTAAAAAATGCTGGGTTGTTTCAACCCAACTTTGGGTCAAATATGGACAAACCCAAACGTTGGATTAAAAATGCAATTTATGTAACCCAACGGCTGGGTTTGTCCATATTTGACCCAAATTTGGGTTGAAACAACCCAGCATTTTTTTTATAGTGTACAGTTCATACATGTATTTGCTACTTGCAACATTTATTGTTAAAAAATTAAAAATATATAGATTTTTAAAATGCTATATTTTTACAATATGTATAATTTTTTTACTTTAATATATTAATACACTATATATTTTAATATTACTATTTTATATATATTTGTATACACTTTAATATATTTTTAATATTTTGTTACATTATTTATATATATATATCAAGTAAAATATGTATATAGTAAAACATATTTTACTTGATTGCACAGTTACACCTGCATTTATTTTAATTTTTTTGTCTTGTATTAACCTTAAATATATAGTTTTTTATATATTGTATTTTTTTAGTACAATACATAAACTTCATTAAATCAAGATACATTTACTTGAGAAGCAAAATGACTTATTTTGTCTCGTTTTTATCATAAATTCACTTAATTTTGGATGAATTTTTCACAAAACAAGTTTTCTCTTTGAATTAAGTTTATATTTTTGACCCCATTGGCATATTTTCTTGTTTTAGGTGTAAACTTGCTTAATTTTGCGTCTCAATAGTGTTTCTGTATCGTGTAAATGTACTTTGAAAAGAATGTTTAGATATTTGCACAGGAAAACAAGACAAAAACCTTTTTTCTTTTTTTTTTGCAGTGTAGATGCAACTGATCATGTGATGAGTTTTAAAGTGAGACGCTCGTTTCTTTGCTCGTCAGATGCAGGTGTGTTTATAGAAACGCTACATTTAGTTTTGTATACAATTAATATGTCAATAGTACTAGTGTATAGGTGTGCGCAGCGTAAACTAAAAGCAACACAACTGCGTTTCATTGGCTCTAAAGAAAGTTTTCTTTCTTTGAACTCTGTCAGTCAGACGCTTCTGCTGCTGTTGGCTGATGCAACTCTACCACACAGTTACACTAGTAATCCTGTCTCCGGCCCCGCCCACGTGTGTGTGTGTGTGTGTGTGTGATGAACTTTGCCCCAGTGTGAGCCGGTTCTCATGCTCTGAGCGGATCAGTTCGGGTCCTGTGACCTGCGCTCAGATCTCTCACTCACTCACTCACCTCCCGGTCCATTCAGAATGACTTCTGTGTGTGTGTGTGTGTGTTTGCAGTGCTCGAGCGAGTTCATAACAGTAATATTAGTTCTCAAAGGAATTCCATTAAATCTAAATAGAAAATCGTGTTCATATATGAAGTTGTTTTCTTTTCATTTGTTTGGGATCCTCTAAAGCCGCCGGACGGTTGTTCTGGAACTGAATGTAATCTCATTTGTGCAGCTTTAGCATTTCAAGCATGTTTTCAAATTCAATTTTTTTTTACCACAGTGCATATAAATATTATGTATTTTATCCCTGTCTAGAACTATATTTATTACAACAACAAAAATGCCCACATCGTCTAGTTATATTTGTAATTATAGTTTATACACACAATTGCAGTTCAACAGTTACTGTTAAAAAATATTTATATAATTCTTAAAAAATATATAGATTTATTTTAAAAAATATATATATTTATACTTTTTAATATATATATACACATTTTTAACAATAAATGTTTTAATTTTTGGAAATTATTTTTGGAAATTATATTACATTACATTATAGTATTTATACAATAAATGTAAAAAAAAAGTTATTTTAACAAAAAAAATTGATAAATGTGTTTTATATTATATTAATTATTTTTATTAATATAATCAAAATATATAAAAATGTTTGTTTTTTTACATCTAACGTTTAGTTAAATTATATAATATAAAAATTGTTTTTATGTTTTTTTTTTTTTTACATCTTTTAATCTATATAAATGTGTTTATATCCCTTTTGTCATTTAGGGATGAATGTTTTGTCCCAAACACACTCGAAGCACTCGACCAATCACAACACACTGATCCAGCCGACCAATCAGAGCAAAGTGTGCTTGTCAGAAGTATTGTAAAATAAATTGTGTGATTTGACATATTTCTGAATGATTTGTGTGTGTGTCTGCAGATTCGTTCGTCGGTCACCACGCTGTGTTTCGCAGGGAAAGAGTTCAGCTGGATCCGACACTTCCTCATCGCTGCCGCTATACTGGCCTTCAACAACCTCCTGGTGATCTTCGTGCCCACCATCAGAGACATCTTCGGCTTCATCGGTCAGTGCTTCTCCAGACGACACTTGATGTAGATGTGGCCTTCTCCCAGTCGAGAGGAGAAGAAACTGTAACGCACGTGTAATATGTCCCACTCTTCCTCCTGCAGGCTCGTCTGCGGCCACCATGCTCATCTTCATCCTCCCCGCTGCGTTTTACCTGCGGCTGGTCAAGAGCATACCGCTCAGATCTCCTCAGAAAATATCTGTACGTACACAACATGTTATATATATGATTTGGTGTCTGTGCTATATCATAACATTATATAAAATAAGAAGACGGCAATCGCCATATTTCGCGAATGTATTATATTTATATATATATATATATATATATATATATATATATATATATATATATATATGGTGGTTGGCATCTTAATATATATCTTAATATTTTATATTTCTTATACTATATTATGTGTGTGTGTGTGTGTGTATATATATATATATATATAAATGTACACAATATTATATAAGACATATAATATATTATATGAAGAAACCAACCACCAGAAAAAAAAAAAATATATATATATAAATATGTGTTTTATATATGGTTGGCATCATATGTAATACTATTGGCATCATTGGCATATATGGTTGGCATCATATGTAATATATACACGCAATGAGAAATATAATATTACATATGATGCCAACCATATATAAAACATTTATATATATATATATATATATTTTTTTTTTCTGATGGTTGGTTTCATCATATAATGTCTTATATAATATTGTGTACATTTATTTATATATATATATATATATATACACGCACACATAATATAGTATGAGAAATATAATTTCTGAAGAGGATGCAAAAAAAGTTATATAAAATAATTTAAGAAATAGAATATATGAAGATACCAGCCGTGTGTATGTATTGTGTCTGGTATCTTCATATATTCTATTTCTTAAATTATATTATATAACTTTTTTTGCATCCTCTTCATGATCACCATATTATATTATTATCTACAGGCAGCCATTTTCCTGGTGTTTGGCGTGTTCTTCATGATCGGCAGCTTGTCTCTCATCACCCTGGACTGGATCCACAACCCGCCCGGCTCTAAAGGTGCTCACTAACCCTGAAGCCCTCGCCATCCCGGAGATCGTCTCAGAACACACACCTCTCTCTCCCTCTCGCAGCCCTCGCTTGTTGTTTTAAGTTCTCCTGTGTGTTTTCTCAGCACTCGGATCTCTGCGTTCTCAGATTGATGTGAATTCATGGAGGAGATGATCCATCGCTCATTATGAATGTGAAAGATGGAGAGAGAGATTGGTTCATCAAATAAGCACTTCTGGATTTTTATCAAGACATGCCAACAAAGTTAATAATCACGTTTGCCTTCATTAGCTGACTTTATTGTTCACTGATAGTTAGTTTGTTGAATTGTTCACTCAAAAATGAAATTTCAGTAATTTTCTCCTTAAACCTTGATATGAAAGACAAGTAAATGATGATGATTTTCATTTTTGAGTGAATTATTTGTTTAATATTAGGGTTTGAATCATATTTCCTCTTTGAGAGGGGGGGGGGGAAAGGTCCAATTATACAATTTTTGTACCAAAATGAAGGTTGTGCGAACAGTCGGTCCACAAAAGCTCCGCTTTTTCCTCTAAAACTGATGCATAAACCCAGATCCGCACAGCTGAACCAGATCCCGATGAGATTTCTGACTCCATTCTCTTCATTTGGAGGATTTTAAAGTGTTTAAGCTCCAGGAGTGAACTGAAAGTTGGGTCTCGTCTCCTTGCATGCTTTTTTTCCATCGCAGTCGGCGTTCAAATGAAATGGCGTTCAAATCCGCCGAATGCCACACCAAAGGGGCAATGCAGCGTTTTTACGAGAATCTGCAGACGTTTGTGGCCGCTGACTCATTAATTACAGTTAAATCACGCGCAAGCCCTGACCTGATGTTAAAGAGGACCTATTCTGCTTTTATTACATGTTCAGTTCATCATTCTCTAGAGTGTAATGTTGCTGTTTGAGCATGAAAAAGGGAGTTCTTCTCTATATCAGTGTTTCTGACCTCCTGAAACGCCTCCATTGTAGTCTTGAGTTTCTTCCGGGAACGAACACGTCACAATATTCCTCATTATAATAATTAATGCGCAGAATTAAGGGGTGGGGCCTGGTTGAGTTAGTTAGTAGTGTGTTAAACTGGCGGTTATGGTAAGGGGCGGGACATTTCCCAAACACACTCGAAGCGCTCGACCAATCACAACACACTGCTCCAGCCGACCAATCAGAGCACAGTGTGCTTTTCAGAAGGAGGGGCTTCATAGAGACAGGAACTAAACAGAGCGTTACTGACAGACTGGGAAGAGAGGAGCCGCAACAATGGAGAATATGAGGAGAATAATCAACATTCAAGCAGGAAAACCTGTTCTAGTAGAGAAACAACAACATGAAGACTTTGTGAAAGAGCACAACAGGTCCTCTTTAACAGAGCGTTGGCCGTGAGCAAATAAGCTTGTACTGTCAATCCGAGATTGTGCCTTTTCCATCTTTCCGTGCTTTATCTGACGACACTGCCTTGCTGGAGAAAAACAACGACGTTTACAGAACCGAGACCGTCGCGTCTCCGTCTCATCCGTGCTGAAGCGGGTTTCTGCGTGCGCCGGTTCAGCCAAAGTGGACGATATTTAAAGATCCTTTGGTGATCTACTTACTCATAAAGCAAATATTTCAAATGAAATGGTATGATATTTTTGCATGTTTTAAATCACAAACATGGTCTTTTTGGACATTGTATATGGTTTGTAAATAGTGTTTGTTTGTTTTTTTGGAAGGGACGACACATCAGATGTTCACCAGTAGAGTTTTAGTATTATATTTTAGATGTTGGTGCCATCGTGCCTTTTTCTTTTGTAAATTTGTAGAAAAGCCATTGTATTTCTATATTTCCTTCTCCATTGTTTTTATGACGAACTGAAAAATGGAGTTGCGTGTTTTTTTTGTATGTTACTTGATTAGTTATCAGCTGAAATGGTACAGAGAGCCTCAAAGATGAACGTTTGGTCACATTTAACATTTGAAACGATCAGATTGTGTTTTTTTCTCAGCAGTATTTGTCTTCCACTGTTTACTTCTGCAAACCACATATCAAACATGTTGGTAAGAGCGAGTTATGTGTTTTAAAGTCAACATAAAATCAATTTTAAGCATGTTTACCCTCTGTGCCTGTCGCTTCCTTCAGGAAAAATTGTGACGAATAAAATTGTCCTTGAATGTACGAACTGTAACAGTTTACATGTATTTTGGTAATGTGAAATGAACTCCGTATCCCAGTATTTCTCTGGCTGTAGATGAGCGTAGAGAAATGAGGCGAACGCTCACAAACTGCCATCATAATACACGCATAAACAAACGCTGTCGCTGAGCCAATCGGCTGCGACCTCCTGCGGCTCGACCAATCATGAGCTGCCACGTCACTGGGGGATTTTTGTATCACTGAAGCTGTTTCCATATTATGTAACATGAAAAATAAAGAAATGTGAAACGACGTCACTCTTTGTGTTTTCACTGATGGAGAAAGTGTTACCGTAGTTATGTGAAGATGAAAGAAAATATAAAGAAATAATAGAATGCATCTCATAAATGCATTATAGTATAAATAATTATATTTGTATAATTACAGTAGTGGAACTGAGGAAAAATGTACTTGGTTATCATTAAGGCAACACATTTCATTAAAATAATATATTATTTATTATTTTAACAGCCCTAGAAATAAGATTTCTTTGTGTAAATGCTGAGTCATATTTCTGTAAGTGTGTGTGAGAGAGAGAGTGTGTGCATGTTTATATGATTTATGAGGACATATTATTTGTATAATGACATGGGTATTACACTGGTACAAGGAAAACGTGGTTTATACGAGTCCTCGTATTAAAAAATGGCTAAAAAGCATATTAAACAATGTTTTATTAAAAATGCAGAAGGTTTTGTGCGATGGGTGTGAGACAGAATACAGTTTGGATATTTCAACAAATATAGCCTACATAAAAACCATCGTGTCGGAATGTCCTCACAATGAGAGAATCGGTAATAAAACGTGTGTGAGTGTGTGTGTGTGTTCTCGGTCAGGATGCAGGTCACTGTCTCAGCATGAATCGTGTCAACAGCTGGTTACGAAGACCACCACACACGCACATCTGGCCGATCATCACAGGTCCGTCTGCTCTCACAGTCTGTTCAATCATCAGATGCTCGTTTCAGACACTTAATATCCAGCAACATTATCAGTTTTGAGCTGAATAATGACACTATTGTCTTCAGCTGACCTGAACTTGTTTCAAAATGAATGAACTTTACACATTTATTGATCCGAATAGTGACTTTATACTAGCTATTTATATATACAGTCATATGCACACAGTCTCATTTCTCAAACTCGTTTTATTAAAATACATAGGCCTACACTACCGTTCAAAAGTTTGGGGTCGGTACGATTTTAAATACTTTTAAAAGAATTCTCTTCTGCTAACCATGGCTGCGCTTATTTGATTAAAAATACAACAAAAATCAGTTATAGTATTAAATATTATTCCAGTGTAAATCAGCTGTTTTCTGTGTGAATATATAGTAAAGTGTAATTTATTCCTGTGATCAAAGCTGAATTTTCAGCATCACCAGTGTCAGTGTCTTCAGTGTCAAATGATCCTTCACAAATCAGTATAATATGAGGATTTGATGCTCAAGAAACATTTATTATTATTATCAATGTTAAAATACAGTTGTTGATCTGTCAGTTGTACAGTTTTTTTTTTTTTTTTTTTTTTAGGATTCTTTGATGAATATGAAAGTTCAAAAGAACAGCATTTGTTTGAAATAGAATCTTTTGTAACATTATAAATGTCTTTACTGTCCTTGATTAATAAAAGTATTGATTTCTTTCCTCCAAAAAAAAAAAAAAAATTCTCACTGACCCCAAACTTTTGAACGGTAGTGTACATAAAATATTTAGAGGTGTAATGTGAAATGTGATTTTTTTTTTATTGACATGCATGTAATGAAATCACTATGCATTCAATTCACTTAACAAGCAGCTCGTGTCAGTGATCTACAGCTTTTTCTGCATTTTGCAAGTCACATGTGAACTTACATTTCAGAGCCTTTCTTCACGTTTGAGGAATTTGACTGGGTTAATCCGGCACACCTTACACAATAAACATATTCAACACATAAACCTATGAAATCTGTGTTGGAGACGGGTAAAAATGCATAATATTGAGTTTGTCATCTGCATGTCACGTGCGACTCTATTTAGTTCTTTAAAGCGGACCTGAGTGAAAACACTCTGCATTTGAATATTTTGAGGAATGTAAAGGAGAGGCTTGTTGAAAATTAAGGAAGAGAATGTGAGAGAGAACGTTTTAATGATGTAAAGAATGTATTTTATTATGTCGTATAATGGTGTTTTTTTCTCTAATGTTGATTAATAATAGAATTTACTGTAGCATTTACAGACTCTCCTAAATCACACAAGACTTAAAAAACACCAGGATTGTCTGTGGATCATAATAACTTTGTTCATCATGACAGAAAAGATGCTCTATTGAAGCTAAAACTGGCAGTTCTGTGCGTTTCTAACATCCCAGCATCACAACAGTGCACTGTGTGAGGTCAGCAAGAATCAAGTTTTTGAGACATTAGCTGAGTCATAACACACACAAACACACACAAACAGATGCATTTTTGTTCAATTAAACACTAGATTGACAACGCCCTCATTCAGGGAATTTTTAGGCTCATTCCTATGGGACGTCCTGCGAAACTTGTCTTAACAAGCAGCAGTGACCAGGAGGAGCCTTTATGTCCAATAGGAAACTTCTTGTTTTAAAAGGACATGTCAACACAGGGAAGGAAAGTGTGGCATTTCATGGGCAGATTCATGTTTGGAAGTAGCACTTTTTTGAACCCAACCCTACAATGACCCGCAAAAGACATCCTTCACCTCTATTGTCTTCACACAATCCCTTGATTCATGCTATAATCATCAGAGATGAAGCTCTGAGGCCTGTAAAGAGATGCCAAGGTGATGCCTGATTAAAACCACACCTGCTATTAAAGCTTTATTAGTCAAGCAAAATGGCATTTTATCACAAGTGGAATGAATTTGATGTGTGATAAGTGTGTTTGCTTCATGCAGTGAGTGAGTTGTAAGGTGTTTGATGAGTCACTAGTGCGACTGGCACACATTAACCCTTAAACGCTCGCCTCGGGACGAGATCATTATACACATCAACCTTCAGTATTCCTCATTATAAATATTATAACAACTGAAATGAGAAAAGAATGTGTTTTCTGATCATTTTTTTAAAAAGTGTATATGACGCAAGTGACCCCGAGGTATGTAATAGACCGTGTTTTGTTTTTCACGCAACAATAATTGAATCTCTGATGA